TTTCAAATAATTCTTTGAAAATTTTTTTTATTTTTAATCAAAATTTGATTCTTTAGATGGTCAATTGTTGACTAGTTCATCAACAAATGTAACTCGTCATACTCATCGATTGCCATCAACAGCTATGGGAAATAATTCTGATGGAGAAATAATAAGTAAAGTTGTACGTGAACTTGAAACAAAAGTTCAAGAATTAGAAGATGGACAATCATGTTCTATTTGTATGGAAAGATCACGAAATGTTGCTTTTTTATGTGGTCATACAGCTTGTTCAAATTGTGCACAGCCCTTAAAAACTTGTCATATATGTCGGAAACCTATTACAAAAAAAATTAATCTTTATTCATAAAATTATTTTATTCCTTAGAGTTTTGTTGTTGTCAATTTCTTAAAGAGAATATTTGTCTTCTATTTAAATAAATATTTTAAAATTTTTAAATATTGTTAGTTCATAAAAAATGATTTGTTTTATTTTCAAAAGAATTAGTTCAAATTGTTTTTTATGAATGATCAATAAAATACATAAACATATATTTATTAAAATTTTTTTGTTCCAATTACATTGCACTTTGACTTAGACATATGTAAATCATTCATACTCATTATGATTAAATACCTATTACATTCAAACACCAATGATGATTACGATTTTCTATATACGTCCGTTTTCTATACTTTAAAAACAATTTAATGAAGGTTTTTTTTTTGTAAACATAATTCATTCATAAGCTTATATATTCAAAATTCTTGTTCGATGATATTCAATGTATAGAGTAATAAAGCTTGAGTACTTTTTGAGATTTGAATAACTGGATAAAATCATTTAAACCAATGCTCGTAGAGTCAGATAATGCATCAGAAATATTTTTTTTTTTAGACATAAACAATAAGTTGAGTAGAAAAGTAATCTATTTAGACATTCCAATATACATTTAAATTTAGTCGACAAATATTCTAATAAAAAACAAAATAGAATCAGTAACTATATAATTATTTTTCTGAATATAATCTAACTTTGCCAAGTTATTATTTCAGAATTAATTACAGATAGTTCTCATTTTTCAGTTAACTTAGTTTAATCTTTTTTAGACTTCATTTCAAAAGATATTTAGTTTCATGATAATTAGATTTTGTTAAACAAAATTATAAACAGTGAATATAATGTACTCCTAGTAAACAATAGTAACTTGCATTAAAAATAATAGGTTTTACTCATGGTTGAAATCACTTGAATGCTATGCATTTGATATAATCAATCAAAATCAAAGGATCCATGAATGTTGATCTATATTATGATTTGAATTTAAAATCAATAGCTTCATTAAAGAATTCGATTCTGTCAATTGATGTAACTTTATGTAGTTATTTTCATATGTTTGAAGTAAAGTTGCATATTAAAATAGTTCTTCATAAAAAACAAATTCAATATTTTATAACACAAAAAACATATTGGTTCACTTCGACATCATAATGTTATTCCTTGTGATACAGATATTGATATTTCTATACCTTCATTTTTGTTTTAATATTTCGAAAGTTGTTTTAAACAACTGAATAAGTTTACACATAAAACATAGTAGCACTACTTTTAAAAAACATGAAACTTTTGAGTAAAACTTGATGGAGCAAATGTTTCTCATTTGTTTATATGAAAGTGATGTTAATGCCGCTCTAATGAAACAACAAAAACTGATAAGAAACATCATTCTGACAGCTATGTTACAGTTATTTTTTTTTTATTTTTATCATACATAGGTATTTGAGTGAGAAAAATTAAACTGAAGAAGACACGATGATGTCATATCAGAAAAAAACTTGAGAACTATTTTTAATCAGCCTAGTTTGCACTGAAATGACATGAGTTTTCAAGTGACAAGATCTTAACTGTTTGTTCACCTTAAATTAATTGAACTTGTTGCCGTCAGCCTAGAATCGTTTTTTATATATATCGAGAAGCTTGCAGTTAATGGTTTGCATTTTCTCAACATTAACATCATCTTGGTACAATGAATTATTTATCGAATACTAATGCTAAGCTTAATTCGGCCAATTAGATGCTTTTTTCTCAGTGAAGACAATACTTTCTTACACATGGCATATTTCTGATCAAGAACTTAGTACAGTATACCGTTTTGTAAGAAGTCATCGTGATTCAATCAATACCATTTGTACAGGAACACTTCTCTTTAATAATAAAATTCAAAATACTTAGTGTATTCAAATACCAATGACATGAAAATTTCCAAGAACATTGAACTGATACTATGCATATGAGGGTCTCTATTACTTGAACAAAACATTTATCAGATGGAAGAAACTCATACATACATCAATATCCATGAATTACTGATATAGAAATTGAAACTGTACGACATAAGTTATGTTTGTTTAGTTGTTCATCAAAGTCGATGTAAGAAATTTTTAATGTGTTAGAAGTAACTCAGTATATTTTAACTGAACTAGGATGATGTTCAGATATATCTCACAAGATAATTGTTCGGTTTTATCGAGATTACTATTCAATTTTTTGAACTTTATACGACATTTCTTAGTTCTTAACAGTTTGTCAGAAAATGCGGAAGCTATCAGGATAGATAGATCTTGACAAGTAGAGTAAAAAATATCGTAGACTAAAGATTTTGAAAATATTACCCTGATAATCACTTCTTGTTCTCATTTGTAATAGATCTGACACAGTGGAAATGTGTTTTACAGATACTAGACAGTATTCTGGGTAACTAGATTTTTTTAATATTTGTTATACCTCGTTACAGTTGAATAGAAAGATCAAAGTACTGTTGTTCATCGAAAAAGAGATGTTTTCGGCTGTTTCTTTTTAACTGAGTCGTTCGCTGTAAACTTTGAGAAAAATCAGTGGTATACTATATTTACAAAGTCTAAGTTGAGGAAATTTTCAGCTCGATCAATGCACTGTGATTAAGAACCGGTGGCGGTTGAGTACCTTTTTTTGTCTCAAAGTTCATTTTTTAAAAGCAACAAATAATGTGTAAAGTGTTTTTTATTTTTTACTGAAATAGTTATCACTTTTTAAGTTTTCGACTTTGTTTGTTATATATAAACTCTTAACATATTATCAGTAAATATAAAATATTTCGACGTGTATATAGACCAGAAATGAACAAATATTAACAATCTTAAAATTTTCGACTAGCTCGATTGATAAACTTAGTTTATTCGATCTTATCATCATCATTTTGATGACCTTAATTTCATACGGTAATGTCGACGGCATCACCAACGAAAATGTTAGTGGTCAAATTCTATCAACATTACAAAAGATGCAGAGAATGAAAATCACTTAAACAAGGTTTGAGTGTGAGTGATGCTGTCTGTTTTTTCTATACCCACACCTTGCATATGTCGAAATAACATCTCTTGACAAAGTTGAAAAACGCTATTTCTCATAGAATATTTGTATTTGAATGGGCAGATCAAAATATTCAAAAAACTAATACTATTTCGTAAATAAGAAGCGCATAATATTCATTTGTCTATATCAAATATTAGAAGACATCATAATGATGTTCGATATCAATCTCGATTTACATTTGAATAACCTTTTTGTATTCATCGATATATGTCAAAAAAATGGCTCACTTATTGCTTAGTTATACTTGTCGATTTACCACAGACAATTTGGTGGATTTTATGAAATCGACACTTTAATAATGTGAGGTAATTGCTGGCGTTGAAAGACAGATTAGATATCGCAGTACTAGGTAAAAGCAAGAGAGAAATCCTAATTCATAACAAACAGAAAACATTTTACTTCACGTAAGAAAATGGCAACATGGAAAGAAACAATGTTTGTCATTTTCTTCATGATAATGTGAGCATTACTTATTCGTCAGGTACAGTCTATAAGATCTGTTAATGCTATCTAATCATTGCAACCATATTTAAAAAGCATCAGCTAAGACATTTTCAACATTGACTATCATCAGGTATTGATAGCATCAAATCCATCATAGTACTACAAATCTCATATAAAAGGTCTTGTTATCAAATTTTTCAAAGAAGAAAAAACTTAAAGATATGGTCTACCAGACATATTCAACTGGCTTCGCGTCTCTTATTCAACTACGTATCTTAGCATATAGATGACATAGCTATCTAGATACAATAAATCTAACTAAGCAACAGTCGAGCAACTAGTTTGACATATATCAATGAACAAAATAAGATTATTGAAAAGTAAATCGAGGCTGATATCGAACATTGTTATGATGTCTTCTAATGCTTGATGTAGACAAATAAATATTATATGCTTCTTATACAACAAATACTACTAGTTCTCAGAACTCTCTGATTCTCCTATCTACATTGCATGAATCTCAACATAAGTTATTTCGTACATCATTATTGTTCTTTCATATAGTTCTCTATATAATATAAATTGTTTCATGTAAAAAAGAGAAAGCTACTACATGCTTGAAAGTATCAGGTGAACCATCATAACATTCAAAAAGTGTATTCATTAGTTTATCATATACATTAAAAACTCAATTCAGTTGAATTTTTTAAGAAACATCATTATATAATAAAATTTGGTAATGAAGTATCCAGTGCTCCAGACAAAATCGGACACTTTTATTTTCATGACATCTCCCGTCTTTTAAGAAACTATAACATTAATTTTATTTTTCAGTAGAGTATTCAAAATATTCTTTAGAAACCTCTATGCAAAGACTTTCGTATACTGCCCTATTCAGGACGTGGGTGGGTGAGAGTGTGGGTGTGTGGATGTGGGTGTGGGTGGGTGTGAGTGTGGGTATGGTGTGGGTGTCGGTGTAGGTGTGGATGTAGGTGTAGATGGGAGTGCCGATGTGGGTGTGGATGTGCATGTTCGTTTGTTTACTAATCACACGCATATGCCCACTCACACCCCACCCCCACCCTCACACCACGCCCACACTTATCACACCCACACCCACCTACTCCCACATCCTCATTCTCATCTTAAATATCTTACTATTGAAATGACCCAACCAGCATGGACTGCACAAGCTATTCAAATGTTATTTTCATCAATTCAAACACCTCATCTAATTTCATTTCGTATTGTTTTCTATCAAGCATCATTAATACCTTTTGATTTCATTCAATTAATTGATATTTTTAATGAACGATTACCTAATTTAAAACGATTCGAATGTGATATTCTTTTATCAAAAGGAGTAGATACAATCGATTTGAAAACTATTCGAGAACTACATTCATTTTTATTTACTCATTTGAAATTTGAAACTCAATTTAATGGAATGTTAAGAATTTATACAACTGATTTCGAAGATTAAATATAGCAGAATCAAATCATGATGAGATCATTTGTTGTTTTATCAAATAAAATGTTTATACTCATTAGATATGTGTGAATACAAATATTGTCTTACTAACAGTAGAGAATCTACATAATCAATGATACTTGCCGAAGTAAATGTAGAATTTTATTAAATTAATAATAAAGTAGACTGATGAGTCTGAAAAGTATTCATTCCTGCAGGTATTGTTTCCAAAATATCGAATTCTTATAAGATTTTCCCACAGAACTCAATATCTCAGCAACATCGTATGCATGAATTTCGACTTGAAACTTTGTTCATATCAAGATAAAATTTCAGACTCTTTGAATGTAATCTTTAACATATAAGAGGTGAGTGGAAAGTTTCCAGACAAAATACTTGACTATTTTTCGTGTATTTAAATGCATTGGAAAAGAATGAGAGGTAGAGCCTATCGGGTTGGGTCCGGATTTGACCGAGGCGAGTTCGAAAATTTTGGACCCCATGGGCTCTAGTGAAAAGTAGTATATTAGAATCAGAGTTTTGTGCTCTTTCAGAATATTTTCTTAGAATTTTCCTGTGACTTTTAACTATTGATCTATAAGTAAATCTTGACAACACTCAAAAAATTTTCTTGACAAACAAAAATCTTATTTTGTGAAGACAAGTCTGCTTTTTGTGGACATCAAATAACTTCTGTTAATTTATATATAGTACTTGCGGATGATCTCTATTCTAAAAAAAAAAGGACGCAAAAATGAAGAATTTTAGTTAATCCGCTAAAAACTGGCAGAGTTGTGACGGACGGTCATTTTGCACTGAAAAGGTGAAAATTGGAAAGATAAATTTTATAAACGCCTTTACTTCGTCTCAACAGTTGGAAAAAATTTTATCGCTTTGTAGAGAATTATTTTCTGTATCCCTCAATATAGTCAATAAAATATTGTGATATATCTCGAACAAATTCCATTTGAAGTTGTTTTCTTCGAAAAAAATGTTCGAGTCTTTTCAAGATTCACTTATAGCTCAATAGTTAAAAGTCACAGAAAAATTCTAAGCATATATTCTGAAAGAGTACAAAATTCTGATTCTAATATACTACTTCTCATTCGTTTCCAATGCATTTTAATACACGAAAAATAGTCAAATATTTTGTTAAGAAACTTTCGATCCATCTCTTATGTCAAACTTGAGAGTTAAACTCAACTATTGAATAGCTGAAAATTGATAAGTTGAAATTCAAGTATTTCAGGGAGATATAACATACAGGGCATCTCTTCCGCGGAAGGTACTGCAAAATCTTAACACAAACGAAAAACAACGTTCGGTAGTTGAATACTTGAATAGTAGTCCAATAGTTGAAGTCAATTTTAATGTTTGAAACTATTGAATATATACCTTGTGAGTCATTTTTTCAAGGGAAAAAGCGGCTCCTGGGATCCTTGGCTTCTGGGGAATCCGTAGAATTCCCCAGGAGTCGTTTTTTTCCCCTTGAATTTTTTATTCGTAAGGAAACAAATTGTGTGTAGTTATCGAGGGTGGGTGGTTGTGAAAGTATACATTATTATTTACAAGCTAAAAGTAATTTTTTTTTGTATTTTTAATGTATTAATATATAATAAATTAAATTATTTCTTAATTCAACAAAGTACATCTTATTTTTTATGTCATTTTGTTGTGAAACAATACGTTCTTTTTTGTTCGGACACAACGATTGTCGTATGTTTGTATCATACTGATAACAAGAAACATGCAACGTATATGAAAAATTCATAGATGTATTATTATCATATGTTTGCTCATTTTTACTATGTCATTAAAAAAAGAGAAAATAAGAACAAAAAGTAAAATTTGAGTACAGAAAAGACTCATTTTTTTTAAATATTATTTTCATGATGTCTACTATTTCTGCTGACAAAAATGGTCTCTTGAAAAATCATAAATCATATGTCAATCATTGTCAAAATATTAAAAATGAAGTGAAAGAATTATTAACATTTCATCCTAAAGAATGGATTAGTGCATTTCGATCAAATCCAGGATATCCTTTATTCGTACGTGGTGATATTGATGGTTTTGTTGCGTTATTTATCAATAATTTATCAACATTATTAGCAATAATCTTAAGTTTACAACCCATTTTAGGAGATAAAATTGTTTATGGTAAGATTCTACCTGGGTAAGTAAATATATTGAACAATATAAATAATTTATAATTTCATAATAGAACTGGATTAGCCATGTTATGGGGTAATTTTTATTATGTTTATATGGCTCGAAAACTTGCATTTAAAGAAAAACGTGGTAATGTATGTGTTATGCCTTATGGTATTTGTACTCCAGGTGCATTTGCTTTTATTTATGTCATTATATCACCTACTTATTATGGATGTATATCTAAACATGATAAAGCTTACTGTCAAGAATTAGCATGGTATGTGGCTTTAGCCAGTAATTTTATTACTAGTATTGTTCTCTTGCTACTTTGTGTATTTGGTGAATTCATTCGAAAGAATACGCCAAGTGTCGCACTGCTGTCTTCCATATCTGGTATTGGATATGCTATTTTAGCATTGAACGAATATCTACCTATGGCTGAAACGCCAATAGTAGGTTTTATTCCGTTTACAATAGTAATGCTTGGATATTTTGGTGGGGGTAAAAATAGATCTAAGAGTTTAATTATCTTTTGAAAAAACTGATTCTAAATTTATTTTTTAGTTACATATGGTCCCGTACCAATTGCTTTCGTTGCTCTAGTAACAGGTACAATTCTTGGTTGGGCTACTTCACTTAATCAAGGCTCAGCAGTACGTGAAGCAGTTCATCTTTTAAAATTCTATGCACCAGTTTTTCCTATTAAACAAATGTTTCAACATATTAATACTATTCGTTTCTATCTTTCAACAACAATTCCAACAGCTATTGTGATTGCTATTGGAACAATACAATGTGTTGAATCAGCTAAACGAGCTGGAGATTTTTATCCTACTCATGAAGCCATGTTTGTTGATGGTGTTGGAACATTAATTGCTACTTGTTGTGGTTCAATTTTCAGTATGACAGGTAATTTTAAAGAATGATTCGACTAAATATATGAATTACATTCGTGTTTATATATATAGCTTATATCGGTCATCCAGCAATGAAAAAGATGGGCGCAAGACAAGCATATTCAGTAATGAATGGTCTTAGTTATTTACCATTATGTTTTCTTGGTATTAGTGGTCTACTCATATCTGTAATTGCAGTTGTAGCAATAAATCCAGTTGTGGTAAGTTTATTAAACATAGACAAAAAATTATTTAAGAATAAAAACTAAGAGATTTTCAATATTTATTAATAGATTTTTATTGGTTTAGTTATATGTTCTGATACATTAGCAACTACGCCTCAACGTCATTATCCTGCTTTTCTTTTTGGTATAATGCCAATTATAGCTGATTGGGCTAAAGGTACAATTATAAATGGTGTGTCTAATGCTTATCTGAATTTTACTCTACCTAATGTTCAATTTTCATCTAATATTAGTTCTTTCGTAACTGCTTTCTCATATCGTGGTTTGGCTAATTTTGCTGGTGGTTCATTATTACAAAGCGTTTTTCTCACTGCTATTTTAATGTATATGATCGATCGAAAATTTCTCAGAGCTACAATATGGTCGCTTCTTGCAGGTTTCCTTTCATTATTTGGTTTAATCAATGCAAGTAATGTAGGTGTATTGGTAAAGAATAGCGATGATGGCTGGCGATTTACTGTAGCGTATACTATGTTAGCTGTTTTTTTCTTATTATTAGAAATAGTACAAAGAAAACATTGGATAAAAGGACAAGAAAAAGAACCTGATGATTTGTCAAGTTTTGAATGGGCTGAATGGAAAAGAGAACAAACATTGGAAGAACCAATAACAGACGATAATATACAACTAAACTTATGATTTATTTATTTTTCTTCAAAATAAATATATAATAAATGTGGAAACCTCGGATTTAAATCTGAGAGTTATGTGTACTTCAAAAAGTGAATTAGGCAGATGAGCCATCCTAGAATGTGTGGACATCAAAATTATCCTGGCAAACCTTTTCTATAAACACTTCAATCCTATTGACTACTGCTCAACCAATAGGATTTGGGAACGAATATAGATCAGATTTGAACTCTTCGCCCTGATTTACCCTCAGAAAGTCGTTTTTGTTTTTCCTATAACTTGATTTCTATTGGTCACTGCTAAACCAATGCGATTTCGAAGCAAATGGATTACAGATTCGAGTTCTTCGCCCCAGAAAACCTCGAGGTACGATCTCTGTAATAGGAAGATAGAGCTCTATTTATGGATCAATTAGAGCGTGGACACACAGAACCAATTTCTGTTTAATAATCTTTGTAATAGATGAGTTAGTCTTCTTGTTTCTTTATATTTTATATACCATTTTGTAGCTCGTGAAATTCTCTATCGAATTGTATATAATAGTTGGAGTTTTCTTTGACTTTGATAGGAAAAGTTGTTTACGAAAGTGGAAGGTGTCGATTTGCGCATAGGGAAGCATAGGGAAAAATGACTATTTTTGTAATAACTCAGAAATGGCTCGCCCAATCATTCTCATCTTCGAACTCAACCGAGATATTGTTGAGACTAAAACACGCCCACGCCCCACACCCCACACCCAGATCCACACCCACACTAGTTGTAAGTGAAGCAAGCAATAATAATATGAATTAAACAACCTTAATTATTGATAAGATGAGACATTTCATTTGAAAGAATAATGATATATACCTGAAAGCTACATGAAAAGATTATCAACTAACCAATTGTCTTTTTTTAGTTAACTTATTTGAACATGTGCATTGGTGGTGTTAAACCATGATATTTTTGTCCACAATAATACTGATGAAAACCATCTGTTGCATTGCCCTGACCTAATGTTTTAAATGAAAGTGCTGAAGCACCATCTATTTTTTGACCCATGAAATAAACATTCCATGAATCTTTTGCATAACCATCACTTAATACT